CATTCTTTACATTAGCTGCAAACATCTGTCTGACACCAAACTGCACATGTGGAGTAGAACTGGTAGCTACCTTGGCTCTGTGCTGACTCAGCATTGTGACGATCTCCAGGTGACCAGCTGCAGCAGCGAATCCCAGTGCAGTCAAACCGTCATGTGACCAAGCATCCAGCTAAAAATTGAAGGTGGAATTGTGGTTGGAGTAAATCTGCTCTTGTTAACACCCAATGACGCGTCTCTATGAACTCACATGATGTTTCCTTTTTCTTACCTGTGCTCCATGATCAAGCAGCAGTGCTACAGCATCAGTGTGGCCCAGGTGAGCGTGGACACACAGCAGGGGGGCGTTGTTGAGGACATCGCTACAGTAATCCACATCAGCCCCGGCCATTATCAGCAATCTGCTCACCTGCAAAAGGAAAAGAGGAAAGTTACAGCAGAACTGTGGTGGGAAATACACTCGTGTGTGTGTGAGTATGCATTGTTACCTTGATATTGGGGGTGTAGAGGTTGCGCAGTGACGCAAGAACAGGGCTCAAACTCTGGGTGCTGTATGACAGCCACAGCCCTTGCAGAACTGAGGAGGAAACCCCTAGCTTCTTACTCAGGCCCTGGATGAGGAGAACAAATGTGACAGAAACAGTTAGACATAAAACAGTGGCATCTCATTGGTTTGTGATCTGTAAAAACAATCTCCTGGTGTGGTTTCCAGCCTCTTGTATCTGCGTATGCGTGTCTAACTTTGTGTGTGAGAGCTCGCCTTGTAGATGTGCGCCTTCAGGATGTGATGCCCGAGCTCCAGTGTCTGCTGTCGGGTCAGCTTTCCTGCCTGTCTGCAGAGCCAGAAGGACAGGAGAGTGTGGCCACTCCTGGAAACAGACACACAGCTCAGTGAGAAACATCTGTCCCTGTCTTCTTCTCTCTCCATTTGTCACTCATGCCCTCTGGCTGACTGTACCTGGGATCGCAGAGGAACCGGTCATCCTGGCCCTCCTCCCTCCACATAAGCCACTCCCTGAAGGAGGTGTGGTTTAGCATCCGACTGCCGTCGCTGCGCCGCAACAGGAACGAGGAGAGCTGGTCCAGGCGCTGTGAGAACTCCGCCCACTCCAGCGAACCTCCGGCCAGGGTGCCCGCATTCACCACCTCAAACAGCTGTGCATCGACAGTATTGTATCCACTGTTAGCAACTATTAGCATGCTAGCACTAACTGAAGCACAGCTGAGGCTGAAAGGCACATCAGGAAGTTTGATGATATTTGTTCATAAAAAATATCCTGATAGCGTCACTGATTTCACAGGACGGTTCTTACAAGGTGACACAATTATACACACAATCGATGCATTTCAAGTCATTACTTCGAGGGCTTAAATCTATTCGCAATATCAAATATGGCTACATGAGGTGCTCTGTGAGTAATATCATGGTTTAATT